ACCCTTCTGTGATTCTATGATTCTATGACACTGCATTCACTACAGCACCTCAGCCAGAACAGACCGATGTTATCCTACCCCTAAGACCATGGAGATCCTGGGAGATCCAGGGAATTGATGTGGTTGCCTTTTTCATGGTTCCCAACTTCCATTGCATTGAACCCTGTAGAAGAAGGGAAGACCATGTAGATCCAGTGCTCATCCACAGTGCTCCGTGGAAGATGCTCATGGAAGCTCAGCCTTTACTGAGCTTTACACCATGACTTCTGATTGCTCCAGATCCCAGGTTTGGGAAGGGCACTCTTGTTGCTTCTAAAGACCTTTTGAAAAAGAGGCTTCCCCATGTGTCAGACAAAATATTTAAAAGCCACTGCTGATGTGGGATGCTCCAGCTCATCAGTGCCCTATGAGTTCTTTTACAAAAGCACCAGCTACCCCATGTCTTGCTGATGGAAATATTTGGGCTGCATTTGCCTTCCTGGCTGGTTATGTCAGGCACTGTCTGAGCCTGAGGCTGAGTCGGTGGGTGGCTGTTGGGATTATATCTTCCTTCTTTTTCCCTTGCATGCCTTGGTTATTAATTCCCTTGGAACAGCACATCTCCCCCTGGTTTTGATGGATAGGCCTCTTCGTATTTCCCAGCTGGGAGCTGGCTGTGCTCAGGAAATTAAAAGAAGAGGAAACCACCGAAGCGTCAAGACCATGTGGTGCGGCATGAAGGTGGTGCAGAGCCTTCCAGGAGTCCTGAAGCCTCAGTCCTGAAGCCTCAGCCTAAGCACCAGAGGCATCCAAGCAATGGTGATGCAGCCAAGGCGGAGGCCTTGTGTGATGGAAACAAGAGCCTGTAGGGTCTCCCCAGGCCATGGTTCATGGTGGGATGGGGTTCTCGTTGACACTTTGTGTTTCTGAATGTCGAGCAACTGGAGAAGAGGGAATCTGCACTGCAGTGCCATCTGGTACTGCCGCAGGCGTCTTGGAAGGAGATGGGCTGTGTTCTGTAAAGAAAACTTATGAGTCTCTTTATATGTAATTGGAGTTACATCTCTAGGGAATGGGGTCCTGTCCTGGGGAGAGTGGAGGACTTCCTTTACGTCAGGCGGGACATCAAGCATCGCAGCAGAGAATATGTAGGCTCAGAAAGCAAAGCGGTCTTCTAAATCATAGCAGCAGCCCTTGAACATGACAGCCCAGCAGGCAGTTCAGCTGAACAAACGTGCTTTGAGGGTTAATTACCCTCACTGCCTGCCACCAACACCTGTTTTCCAGTGTGAATGTTTTGCTTGTCAATGTCTGTCTATTACTCCTTATTCTCACCTCATCTGCTGGATGGTAGAGCCTCAGGCTGTCAGAAATTCCCTCTGCTGTAAGTGCACGTCTCTGCAGTGAGCTAGGGATGCTTGAGATGGGATTTCCAGCTCTTGTTCTAGAGCACTTGGCAATGCAGCAGCTCCACCTTCCTGCAACCATTCCCATGGAGCAGCACCCTGTGCTGGAGCCTGGCTGGTGTCAGTCCATCTCTGGGTCTCCCTTATTTGTAGTGAGCTTTTTCAGGAATCAGAGCCTTTTGAAACAAATAGTCTTCTGTGATGGAGCTACCGATGGCTTTGTAGGACAGCTATGAGAGATGACGTCAACTCCCATGACTCCACAGAGATGAAGAATCCTCTGAAACACGACTTCTGCTCTCCTCCTCCCAGGAATCAGACACACATTCCCCTCCCTGCCCTGGCTGCTCTTTGCTCTGTTGGTCATGGAGCTCTCTGGCAGCAGATCTTGATCCGTTGGGTGCTTCTACTCTCCAACTTACTGAAGAATATCACCAGTGTTTAATATCTTACCCATGGACCTTCTCTAATCTTTACATTGTCTATTCAGTTATCTATTTATGAGTCATCTCCTGAGTTTGGTCTTTGAAGATTTGTGCTCATATTAACCTCTGCAAACCTCAAAGCAGAAGAGCCCCTCTTGTTTGCCTTGTGACCTTTAGACAAAGCTCCTCCAGCTTTTTTACATCCTCTTCCCTTCTGCTTCATTTGTTTCCCCATCAGCCTTTGAAGTTGCATTGTGCCACCAGCGTTAGCATCCTGGTGGGCAATGGTCAGCTGGACTGGGACGTGCTGCTGGACACCCCATATACACAGGGGTTTCGTATCTGGGGCTGGTGGGACCCTGGTGTTATGCTCACCCCAGCTGTCCTGGTGCTTTGGGAGGAGCATGCCTCTGGAGGGGCTCAGACGTGGGCACTCTGCCCACTTGGAGGTGGGGATCAGGAAGGGGATGTGGAGCAGCACAACCAAGTGTCCCGTGCACTCGGTACAGGGCAGCAGTGCAGGGATTGCGATGGCAGCAACCACTGGGCATCCCTGCTGATGTCCAGGTGTTTATCCACCATGAGATCCACCTTTGCTGGTGTTTTCCCACAGATGCTGGGGTGTCCAGAGCTGTCTGCAGGCCCTGGGTACCCTAGTGATGCTCACACGCCAGCATGTGAGCATCGGTGAGAGCGCAGTGGGGCCAGCCTGCAGTACCAGCTCTGAGCCCCCTCCTGTCCCTTGTCCCACACCATTAGCACAGTCCCTGTGGTGCTCACACATCCTGACCCTGGAGTGGGTGTTTCTCTTTGCTTCCTGCTTCTCTCCAGCATGTTGCTTTTTGGGTGATGGAGCCATGGCCACCCAGGGCTGCCCTAACCACTCTGCTCTGCCTGGCCCTAGGAGCGACGAGGTGGTGGCTGTGGCCAGCATGAACTATGACCCAATCGTGTCCAAGGTGGCTGAGGTCCTGGCTGCCGGCAGGACCATCCGAAAGCGTGATGTGGAGTAAGTAGATGCACTGCGGGAACCAGCAGTGCCAGGGCAGGGCTGAGCACCCCAAGGCAGGACCCCGACAGGCACTGGGTAGCTCTTTCCCACTGGTGGCCACTCTGTGTCCTTTTCACATCTCCCTTCCTGCCCCACTCAGTCTGTCTCCCCAGTGTTGCCTCCCAGCTGCCTCCAGGTCTGGCATCCCACACGCAGGTGGTTTGTCTTGAGCACCAGGATACAAATCCTTGCACAGACTCTGTGGGACAGTGGTGCTCACTGACACTGGGCACTGGCACTGAAGCAGCGCTGCCTGATGCTAGGGTGCCCCTGGGCACTCTGTCCATCGAGGGGACCCCCAGAGAGGGGCTGGGTGTGCTGCCTGTGCACAGCCCTCCGCCAGAGCAAAGCCCAGAGAGCTTGCTGTGTCAGGACACCGGCCCTTGGTGTCTCAGCCTCTGGTTCACTGGGGTGTAGCTCATAGGCAAAGCGCATTTTTCTCCCTTCACTTTGTTTTTGAGCCTTTGCACAGGCAAGGGCGTACCCCTGCATGCAGAGGGTGGGTGCAGAACATGGTGGGCTGGAAGGGCAATGCCAAGGAGGTGATAACAGCCTTCAGAGTGGGACTCAGAGCTGAGGGGGGACTGTGGGCCCCTGTCCCTGGGGTGTTCCTGCATCTGGAATAAAAGCAGATTTTTCCAAAAGCTCAGGGAGGGAAGCACTCCCAGCCCCTAGGCAGCCCTGAGCCAGCTCAGACACCCCAGGCAACCCTGGGATGGGAAACATATCAAGGGTCCACCCAGCCGCTGGTGACTGGAGCAGGGTCATGCCCATCACCTCCAGTACATCCGGAAAGGGTTGCTGGTTGCGTAGCTTGTGGCTGGGAGGGAGGTGGCATCTCATGGGCAGCCTGGCAGCGGGGGGAGCTACTGGTCCCATGGAAGGGCTTGGCAAGCCTGGAGGAAGCCAGGCCACCTAAACCCGAATGTCTTTTTTCTCTCTGTCTCCTGCTGCTTTCGCACCTTTTAGGCTGTTTGTCCATCACGGCAAGTACGTTTGGTTTGGGGTCCTGGGTGAGCTGGGCGTGAGGGGCTGGCAGGAGGGACAGCCAGCCTCCTCCTTGGGCCATGTCCCCAGTCCTTTGTGGGACACCGGTTACGGCTGTGTGCTTGTTTCGCAGCCCCCTTGGTGAGGGAGCAATGCCACTGTGCTGGGTGGTGGGGCTGGGGGTGGCAGGAGCCACACCAGGGGTAGGTGGCCGTGGCTGCTACGTCCCTTTTGCAGGGTGCTGGTGCACAGACCTGCTGGGAACAGGCAGCTGCCTTTTGTCTGGGACCCTGCTCAGCTGCCGTTTGGTGCCTTTCCATGAATTTTCAGCTGAATGCCACAAGGGCTTGTTTTAAGTTAAAAAAAAAAAAAAGGTTTGAACTCCATTTTACATGGAATTGAGGATCTGCACATGAGTTTTGGGGCAGTTTTAGTGCATGTGAGTGAGGGCGGGGGAAGAGGCACTGCTGTCCTGCCTGGGCAGAGCAGCGCTGGTGCTGGGATGGGGACTGATGACCCCTGAGGGCAGTGCCCAGGCACACATTTGCTTTTGCATGCTGGGAAACATCTCACAGCACTGCTGGTTTTTTCTCTTTTTTTTAGAACTGGAGATATGTCCTGGCTAACTGGGAAAGGCTCCTAACGCTGCTGATGGCTGCGCCCTTCTCATGCTGCACTCACCATGGGGAGGCAGAATGGCAGCTCCACGGCCATGCAAGAACACTGCGGCCAAGTCATTTCCCTTTGAGACTTGGATGAACCCAGCGCCTGTCACTGCACACTTACCTCCCCAGCAGACCTCCAATGGCTCCTCTGTCCCCGTGCCTAATGGGCTGGGGCTCTGCTGTTGCCATTCCTGTGGGATGCTGGAAAAGCAGCCCCCAGAGAGCGGGGTTCGGCACTGGCAGTGGGCATGGGCACCGTGCTGCCGACGGACTGTGGGGTCACCAGGCAGGTCTGCCTCAAGCATGCCCCTCACCCCTGTAAACAGCACGAGTGCCTTTCGTTGCTCCCGTGCTTTGAAGCACATTGCCCCTTCCCAACTCCTCCTTGCTCCTGGCAGAGCTCCGATGTGCATCCCCATGGAGCCTGATGTTGGCTCCCTCTCCGCATGGATGCAGCACTTGCCAGGGCTCTCCCTGTGCTCACCCACCCCAGGAAAGCATCTGGGGAGGGGGCAGGAAAATGGGGTCACAGGAGTGGTCTCTGTACAGCCTGTGTTTGTGTTTCGCATTCTCCCTTCTCCAGGCCGGTCGCTCCATCCAGCCCCTCCAGCAGAGGTGGGTCCCTGCCCAAGCCGAGGGCTCTGTAGCTCGTCTGTCCCAGTCCCAGCACTTGCAGCACCTCCCTGTCCCGGAGCAGACAAGGGGCTGGCACGCTGCTCCCCGTCTCTGGGGGCTCAGTTTGGGCTTGGGCACTGGCAGCTCTCGGTCAGTCCCCAGGTGCAGAGCAGAGGCTCCCTGGAGAGGTGTGACAGCAGGACTGCAGCCTCTGGGCTTGGGGGCCGTCCTTCCAGCCAGCCTTGTGATGTCTCTCTGCTTAATGATTATCACAGGAGTAGTGCTGCTGCTGAGATGTTACTCAAGGAAAAGTAGCTGGAAGAGTATTTCTGGCTGTCCTCCAGCCTTTGTCACTCATTCCTCCTGTCGCCTAGTGACAACGCTGCATTTTTCATCTCGGCTTTCCACGTCGGTGCTCTGCTGTTGTGTTTTCTGCCCCTTTTTGGAAGAAGAGCCTTATCTCCAGCTCAGGAGTGGATCTGGCCAGCCCACAGCCCCGTTTCCATCAGCCCAGCAGAGCCGGGGGACAAAAAACCCCCTTGGAGAGCCCCCAGTGCTCTGTCCTGGGGGTGGTTTCTTCCCCAGCAGTCAGTGTTTTACCCTGAGCCCAAAGCAAGAGGATTTATATTTTTAAGTTGATTCACCCCATGAAATAAAGCTATTCATGAAATAAAACTATTCTTGGGATCTGGATCATCTCTGATTCCTTCCAAGGCCTTGGATCACCTCTGCAGGTTGGCTGGGTGGTGCAAGCACCTCATCTGTGGAGGCGTCCCAGTTGTGTCTGGCTCACCTGTATTTATTTACAGATTTTCTGATCTTTGCTTGGTAGAAATGTCACCAGCCACCTGTCATGTCTCCAGCTGGTCTCTTCTGGTTTCACTGTAAGGTTTTTCCCAGGTGACGTGACCAGAGGGGACCACAGGCAGGCACGTCCACACTCCAGCACGCAGTGATGAACAGGGTCCTCTTCTCGAACTGCTACACATCCGCTGGATCCACAAAGGGATGTGAACTTGCAAGTCTCATCTTGGGTCCCAAAAGTCAAACGTTGCTGTCCCTGTCCCCAGTGCAGCACAGGTAAGGGCTTTCTCTGAGGGCAGTGGGGCCAGGGCCGTGCACGCTGCCCGGGCGGAGGCAGCTGCCCAGCCTGCTGCCCTGGCTCTGCACACTTGCTGGGGAGATGTGGCTTTGCATCCCGTGTCTTGCTGGTGGGATGGTTGGACTCTGCTTTGGCAGCTCTCCAGAGGACCGGGCTGGGGGTGCCTGGGGATGCCCAGGAACCACATGGTGGTTTTCCCCTGGGCTCTCCGGCACATCTTCCATGCTGGGTGAGACTGGCAGCTCCCACACCCCACATGCTCCCCCAGCACAGCTTGGCTGGGTTTTTCCAAGGCCTCCATCTTCCTGCTCACCCGAAGGCTTGTCATCTTCTGGAGTCCTCCTGGGTGGATCGGCAGGGCACTTCATTTTCCAGGAGGAAAATGACTCCTTTGCCTCTGCTGGGGCCCTCATCCAGTGCTGGGCATGAGCCACAGATGACAGGCATCACTCCTATGTTCACGGGGCTGAAGACCATGCAGGGGCTGAGGGAAAACCACCTGCTCCAGCTCATGGCTGCAGTGTGGGGAACAATTGCCATTCCCCCTTTTTACAGAGGAACTGTTTCAGGCAGGGCTGGGAACGTCACCCCATGACACGAAGAACACCAGTCACCACCATGGCTTTCCTTAGGACACGTACTGGGTCATGGTCAGGGCTGCCAGCATAGCTGGGCATCCTTGCAGGCATTGCTCCTCTGCACCAGTGCAGGATGGCGTTGGACCTGAGACCCATCACCCAGCGCCTCAGCAAATGCTTACCAGTGGTGAGCATGTCCTGGAGCTGGGCAAGGCTGGGTTGTCTCCTCTGCTACTTCTCCAGGCACATCTTGCAACATCCCTTGGCAGCACAGAAAGCTTCCGGCTCTTATTAAGAAACCATCTGTTCCCATCGGGAATGAGCACCATTAGCTAAACCCAGCTGGGGCACGTGAAGGTTGTTAGTGATCCCTGGCTGCATTGCCCCATCACGTTTAGCCTCACCAGCTTGCCCAGGTATCTTCTAGGTTGCTCACCTGGGTTGCCTATGGAGACGTAATGCCCCAGACCCCGAGCTCTCCACCAGCTCCTGCTCCTCAGACAATGTTGGGCTTTGCCTGTCGGCCTGCCCACGTCTCACCCTGTGTGCTGGCAGGACCCAGGGAGCCACGTGTTGGGCACAGCACACCTTCCTTTCCCACACGCCCGAGAACCCCCCAAATGTCTCGTTGCAGCCTCACACCAGGTGACAGGTTTATTTTAGTTCCTTCGTGCCCTAAGACTTCATTTAAAAAATCCCTGCTCCTGACGAGGTGGTTTCCCAGACATTAAGCATTGCCTCACCCTTCGCCTGTCCATCTCTGCCCTTGCTTTTGCACCTTGCCTGTTGCTTGAGTGAATGTTACTTCTCCATGGACTGGCATTTAATCCTTGCTTTGCTCCTTCTCACAGCCCCCACAGAGGTCATGGCAACGCAAATAACTTCCCCTTCTTCCTTTCCCGCAGTGGCACGCTTGTCACCTGTCCCTCGGGCTGGCTGCCCTTGTCTCAGCTAGAGCTGGTCTGAGCTGAATGGTGGTGGCCAGCCACCTCCAGGCAAGTCTTCCCAGTGTCACTGCTGAGGTTAAACACCCACCTGCTTACAGGCTGTGGTTAAACACCCTCCCCGGTGCAGTGGAGGCATCTTCTCACCAGTGGCATCTTCAGATGTCTGGTCCAGGCATGGCCAAACAGACCTGAAGGACCTCGTGGGCCTTTCTGCTCATCTGTTGTCCTCCCGTAGCTTGGTGTCCTTGTCTAATAACAGGCCAATGCTTACAGCAGGGTGTATTTTTTCCACACTTGGTTAGATTTTCTGTGAAACCCACTTCACACAGGTTTTTGTGGTTTGGTTTTTTTTTACCAGCAGTGTAAGGACAGGGGAGTGGGTGCCCTGAGCTGGGGCCATGGGGCCACACTATGGTGTCACAGCTGCTCAGAAGAGCTGGAGAAAGGACATGCACCCTGGGCTGTGCTCACAGCACGGACCTGCCTGGGGACACTGGGTCCTTGTGCGTAGAAGCCCTTGATGGACTTCAGCCAGCCCTGCATCGGTCTAACCATGCTTTCCTTCCCTGGGTGGGCTTTTTTGGCAGCATATGGCAAATGAGCTCTGCAGCGTCGTTTTGGCTTTATCAAGCAAAATAATCCTCTTTTTATTTGGATGCTTGTTTATTTTATCCTCGTGTCCCTTACCCGTGCCTGGCCCTGCAGAGCCACATTTACAGTCCTTCCTCCCAACATCTGCAGCAGCTGCTCTGATGCACCATCTGGGATGGGTTGGAGGCTGACGATCAGGAGTCAGACCATGCCTGTTGGGTAGGACTAACCGAGAAGGCCCCAAAGCACCATCCCCTTTCCCTGCCATTCACTGCTGGCTCACCCACCCCCTCGCACACTCCGTCCCCCACCACCCTCCCCAGGACCCCTGAGTCCGGATGGGGCTTGGGGATGCTGAGCAGCATGGAGATGCAGGAGGGTGGGGAAGCTCATGGTGATGGGTAAAATGCTCCATGGGTCTGGAGGCTTCAAAGAAGTATTTCTGGCAAAGAGCACCATCCCTCCCTGGGCATCCTCATCTGCCAGGGAGGTCTGAGCAATAAGTACGTTGATACAACCCAGATGGGAGGGGGTGCAGTGGAGCAGAGTGCTGCCCATGGGCTGCACAGGCTGGGGACACGACTGCATCCCCATCACAATGATGGTTACAACGTGTTGCTCACCCCCGCCAGCTGCTGCAGAGGGGAGATGCTCTGTACCCTTGTGGCTCCCACGTGGGCTTGGGGTCCTAGGGGAGAATGGTCCTTCCTCACATCTTCCTCGTGGCTCAGCCGCCCTGTCCCGAGGGAGCCAATAGCTGGGTGGCCCCACGCATTAGCCTGACCCGTCATCCCATTAATTATCTTCTGGCTAATCCCGGCTGAGCAGAGCCGGGGTGAGCAGGGCTCGGCTGCCAGCCA